AGCCTCCTTTCCATCAACAAAATGAGGTACTGTCTTTATCATTTTAATGGCCATAATCCAGCAGTGGCTGTTTGTTTCTTTGCCCTATATGCTCTTTTAGGAAAACTTCCTAAAATACAGTATGGAACTTTTTTACTGATAGCACTAATTTATGAATGTGTGTGTGGACTTTGCCTGAAGAAAGTATATTAGAAGTAGATTATCCTCCCATCTGTAAAAGGACAATGGATCTGCTATGGATAACGGGTGGCGGTGGGTGTGTTTTTGACAGAAAATGACAAAGTTGAACAAGCTGTCCTGTCAAAAAAATACTTTAACTGTCCTTTACTTGTGTGACGGTATTGTAGTGTGTATTGTTATTTGTTTGCTTGAGGAATTTTTTTTGAAAGCCGCACATCCTGTCACACTTCAATGGCTTTGTGTTGGACTGAATGTCTTATCCCATTGATCTGCTTTGCCATTTGAGACAGTTCAGTGGCACTGGCTCTAAACATGAACAGTAAGATTAAATTTAGGCAACTGTAAAGAGTTAATAACAATTCCGGCTAGTGTGTGATGCGCAGGACTGCATGCAACATTACACATTATTCAAGCAATTTCAATTGAACAGTGGCCATAACATTACACTGGTACTCTGTAATTACTTTGCGATTATGATGCTTTGGCCAAACAAGAGAGCATTCACAGGAAAAAATGAGTGTTGTTGTGAATTAACAAAATGCTATTTTACAGCGTGTGCATATTTTTAAACCGTCCCTGGAGTTTGAAATCGAAACTGTGGTTGTGGAGGAACAATCGCTGGTCTGTGTTGTAGGTGAAGAGCCAGTTCAAAGTTCAGGAAGACGTTTTGTGTCGTAATTGCTACAATGATAATACCTATGTGTCATAATTATCATCAGACATTGAGACACATTTCAGAGATATTTCTTTGTCGATGTTGTGTTACAGCGTTCAATTTCAGTCAAGGGAGAAGGAAAAATGAAAAAATGTTGGCTCAACTTGTCAACAGCCTACATGTGCTTGTTGATGATTTTCAGCGACTGCCATAAAGGCAAATCAATTAAATCTTGAGATTGTGAGGTGTCTTCTGCTGCCTCTCCTGAAGAGTTTGTGATTTAGGTGCATTAGTTACCTTACCTGTTAATTGCTTCACAACGCCGTAGACGAACACTCAAATGTAATAAGAGACATGGCGCTCCAAATTACTCAGTTCAGTCAGCCAACACAACATTGTTGGGCGGAGATGAATATTCAGTTACCTAAAAGAATAATTTTTAATTGTGTTGATCAAAGGGAACCGGGACACAATAGCATTATCTGTGGCTTAATTTAATTTTCTTTTGCATTAAAGTTTGAGATGTTGACACATTACAGTGAGTCGTAGCTGTATATTGTTTGTCAGAGGAGTGAAATGAATGTGCTGTGTCTTTATCGAACACACCCTCAGTTATCACTTGTCAGATCAACACTTCATCACTTGATTATTGCTTGAAATTTCCCAGTAGGCACGCTGCACATTTACATTGTGTACTAAATTACATTAGATCACATATCCAAACCATACTATTAAAGCATGATTTCTGGTAGTTTATATGCTAATGCACTTGGGCTGAAAGGATGATTGAAATTAATAATTACAATGTTGGACAGTGATCGTTAAGCAGTAGAGGTTTCAAACAAACTCATAAATTACTATTAATTAGGTGTAACACAAAACACTCTTGATAAGTGCAAATCTGCATCAGATTCATGGAGCTGCTGTATACACATGCATGGACACAATGCCCCGTGGCCCTTTTGTCTCCAGATTTAAATGTACCAAGGGGCCTTGAATATATGCTTGTGGTGTGTGTTGTAAGCAGTATTTGCATATTCAAGATGTATATTATTCACATGGCTGATGCTGTCCCTTTCATAAGCACGCCTCTTATGTCTGTTCTCAACCCCATCCCCCATCCTCACCATTTTACCCCCCCCCCAATCCCAACCCCACCCCCCCTTGATTAACTAATGTCCAATTCGATGCAGCGTATTTCATCAGCTTGTCACCTAATACAGGCAGCTGATTAACCTGGAGTCTGGCTGGTGAAGTTGCAACCCTCGCCTCCCTGTCTTTAATTTTTTTTTTTTTTTTTTTTTGCCCCCCTTTCCACCACCCTCCTCCCCTCCTCAGTCTTTGTTGTGGCGGCAGCAGCAGAGCATGCATTGCATTGGCGGTCTGAAGCATTGTGTCTGATTTCCAGCAGACAAACTGACCTCTGGGGATTTATTGACAGCAAACTCCACAGAGGCAGACACAGAGCTGGGAGCATGGAGGCAGCCAGAGAGGGGCGGAGGGTGTTGGGGAAGGTTTGTAGGGAAGGAGGAGGAGGTGGAGGAGGAGGAGGGGGTGGGCACAGACAGACAGAGAGACAGACAGATGGAAGAAAAGACGGCGAGTGAGTTTTCAACGTGATGAAACAAGAAACAGGTAGAGACGCAGGGAGAAAAGAGATCAATATGAGGGGGGGAAATACACACCCCGAATTTAGTTTAATTCAAAAATGTGTTTTTTGGTGGAGCGTTAGGAAGGGAAAGAAAATGGCCGCCTCCTACAAGGATCTAATTAATTTTGAAGGATCATCAGCCCCTTTAGTCCAAGGCAGGGTACAGGAGGGAGGGAGGGAGGGAGGGAGGGAGACAGACCCCTGGGCTGATTAGAATTCACTGCAGGTAGGCACTGGCTGCTGCTCACCCACTGTGTCACGGCTAAAATGGAATCACTGTTGTGAGTGGCAGTCTGGGCAACTGAAGCCTGCTTCCCTTGGCCTGCTCCTTTGTTGCCAGCATTCACCTCACTTTACCCCTTAGGCAGGTGGATTTACATGTCTGGATGGGTGAGGGAAGCCAGAGAGGGAACATATATGTGTTTGCATTGTCTAACAGTGAGCCATAAAAAAAAGGGGGGCCCATGGCATCAGAATACAGTTACATGTCAAGCTAACCCCTGCCAGAATTTTTTTTTAAAAAAGGTCAAATATTTGAAACTGTAATGGATTCAAGCATTTTGGCACGTGTGTGTAGTACGTTAAAGAGAAGGCTTTAAAAATTAGGACATTTTGTGTTGGTTTTGACTTTGACTAAGTTAATTCTGAATTATTTCAGTGTCAACGACTAGGTTACAGCAGGTTACACCTACTGTAGGGTTAATAGTTTCTGTTAGATCTAGTTTTTAGAGAAGATTATTTGTAGGTTGCTGTTTGCGTTACGGTTACAGCTACAGTTTGAGAAAAAGAAGAGAAAAGTTTAATTTCACTTTTAGGGGTTAAAGATCTCACTGTAAAATGTATTTATTTTTCCCCTGACCAAGACGGAAGAACAAACCAGCTTGTGTGTGTGTGTGTGTGTGTGTGTGTGTGTGTGTGTGTGTGTGTGTGTGTGTGTGTGCGCGCACGTTTTAGTGCCAAAGTGTTATCCGTCTCAGTATCGAGTGATCACCCTCTGCTGCTAAACATGCTATTGCTTGTCTGTACCTAATCATCTGATTCGTTAGTTGACAAGGACATTTCTAACAGTGCTTCTCGAAGTGGGGCTTGTGGACACAAAGCTATTTCAGTTCTTTCTATTTAACCCCTCAACTCTGGTTTTCTACCAGATAGAATATCTCTCCCAACTAACTATCTGACCATTTTGGAGGTATATATGTATCTGTTATCTTGGCATAGCATGTGGTCCCTTTTCCAGCCAGAATCTGTGGGAAAAATACAAAGGTCACTTGATTAAAATCACATAGTTCTCGCCTGTAGTTTCCCCCTCTGCGTCTCAAAACGGGAGGTGTGTTCTTTGAAAGTACTTGAGATTTGTAAAAGAAGAATATGTGTCAACATTAACTTGCAGGTCTGGTCAAATCCTAGCCCCGTTCTGTTCATTGAGCAACACACTGTAGTTATTGGCATTTTACAGAGAGCACTTGATGTTCGTGTTGTAGGCAGCGTGACAGCTACTGAGTGTTTTTTATTCTATTTCCAAAAAAACATTTAAGAGTGTCAGATCACACTTGTAATTATGACCCGAACTCTTAATTAATGATAAATATTCACATCCCAACAAGCAGAGTCATTTCCAGATACTTTTAAAGCTTTATTGGTTGAAATTTGACCAGTGTGGGACTAGTGAGAGAGCATTTGTAATTTCTTTCAGTCTGCCTGACCTTAAATGATACCATGAGTATGTGACTTTAATGTGGTCATTTTTGAGGTAAAACTTGTGCATACTAATGTGTGTGTACAATATAAGAGCAATTGTGAAAGGCTTTCTTAGCGTCACCAAACCAGCTCATCACATGCTTAATGTTGTTGAATGCCTTTCTTGTGTTTTTGAATGAATGCCTTGTGTGTTTAATATTTGACTCTTTTCTATTATTACAACTTCTAATGTCCACTCTGTGCCTGTACTGGATATTGTCTTGTTTAATTTGTGGGTTTGAAAATGAAAAAGGACACAGACATGTCCACACACACACACACACACACACACACACACACACACACACACACACACACACACACACACACACACACACACACACACACACACACACACACGTACGTACACAAACACACACACACACACAAACACATACATAGACACTTTGTTGTAAGTGTGAATCAGACCTTGTCTAAAATATTTAATCTGCGTAAATGTATGAGGAATTTAGATCGTTTTTCTTTGGAAGGGTGTGGTTTTGTTGCCCACTGGCTCAGATAACAGCTGAGAGAAGAACTGGCTCTAATACCAATATTATTTTCAACCTTAATTTGTAATTGGTGGTCATGTGCACACAGGAACGTCCTTTCGTCTTGCTTTGAAAACTCTTCACACATCTGTTGCAGCGTGTCAGTGGTAGATATTTGTGTTACTGTGGCTTCGGGTTCATTAAGGGAGTGGCAATATCGACGAGGCAGTATGTGGCATTAAGATTTGTCTTTGTCTTTTCTCTCCCCCTCCAAACACTGTGGCAGAGAAACACATGATTTGGACAGAGAGGACTGACAGCCTTGCCTAGCACCCGGCCTCTGATCAGCCATCTCCACCAGCAAACTGAAGCTTGACCCGCACTTCATCACCAGCCTCACAAGCATCTTCGGAACAAAACGTCATCTAACTGTGAGTACTGGACTGCTTCAGTTTTTATTTTTAATACCTTTACATTTAAGTTCGAAATAACTTAGCTTGAAATAAACATGCATACTTTTTTCCATTAACGCTATTGCACCACTCCTGCAGTACATTTTGGCTAAATGCTACCTTGTGTGGGTAAACAAATCTGTAAATGTCAAATATGGTTTTATTCTTTGTACCACGAGTGAGTTAATTTCTATTCACTGTATAAGTGGATTCCAAATTATAAAGCATATCTCCACATGTCCAGTTTTTTTTAAACATATATACAGTAGTTAAGTAAAGTGTTGATTCTGACATTTCAGAACCAATATGTTTTCATAAATATATTTCTTCATTCATTGACAGACATAGTGTAAACAAATAATCTATCACATTTTTCACACGTATCTGTACAGTTTCCAAGATCAAAAGGAGCACAGTTACACTGGAAAGTGTAGTGTTTAATAATGATTAAAATAAGGTCTGGTGCCTTACTTAAATTATAATCAAGCAGTTCATATACAAAAGAAATACATTTTACAGCAACTATGAAAACCCACAATTTGCACAATTCTTACACTTACTACCTATATGATTCAGATTTAGATTTTAATTTCTTTTAACACCTATCTGGGAAGAAAAGCATCTTAAGTTATCTTACACACTGATCAGCCGGGTCACATCTAGTGTATTCCAAGGATAGTTAGGAAGCGCCATCAAAGTGAGCACATGGCTAACAAAAGAGGCCTGTTGTCCTCTAAGCCCAGTGCACCACCTAATGGTGGTTGGAGGTATTTCAGGGATACACACTTCGAGAGGGAAACTTGTAATAATTAGATGGAAACCATCTTAATTGTCTTTCACCATGGCAATGTGTAATTTTTGCACCACGATTCAAGAGACAAATTTAGCTCAGATGTTGCAATTATTTGATTCTCATTCTAATATTATTAAACTGGACTCAGGAAAAAAATATTTACATTTCCATATCTTTATTATAATTTTAGGAATTCTCCAATCAACACTCTTATGACTGCCTATAATCAATCTAACTTATCATATATTCAAATTGATTCTAGTACTGGAACATGGTAGTGTATTTTCTAACACAAGGTGAACGGCAATTTTCTTGCAGGCAAGAGAACTTTTTGTGATGCATTTGCTCTTGACTATTCCCATGACTATACATGGTGTATATTTAATTATTCAATTACACTGCTTTATTACTCCTCATATATCAGAAATACTGTAAACCAACAATGGAAACATAACGTTGTTAAACGTGAAGAAAATTCTTAATTTTAGTTCACACCGGTGTGTTTAATCCACTAACAGTGTGTGTCACAGTTTCTAAATCATGTGTGTTTCTTCCTGCTCGCAGGTGACATCAGTTGCAAGGGGATGACCGAGCGCATTCATAACATCAATCTCCACAACTTCAGCAATTCTGTACTTGAGACCCTCAATGAGCAGCGCAACCGTGGGCACTTCTGTGACGTGACTGTTCGGATCCATGGAAGTATGCTGCGAGCTCACCGGTGCGTGCTGGCTGCTGGAAGCCCCTTCTTTCAGGACAAGCTGCTCTTGGGCTACAGCGACATTGAGATCCCCTCTGTGGTCTCAGTTCAATCCATCCAAAAGCTGATTGACTTTATGTACAGTGGGATTCTGCGGGTATCTCAGTCAGAGGCCCTGCAGATCCTTACTGCTGCCAGCATCCTACAGATCAAGACCGTCATTGATGAGTGTACCCGCATCGTGTCCCAGAATGTGGGCCTGGCTGGGCCGGGGGGTTCCCTGTTATACCAGGAGATTCTGGTCAGGAAACACCCCGTGGCACGCCAGAGTCTGGCACCTCTGGGCCCAGCAGTGACGCAGAGTCAGGTTATATGCAAGCAACATCACAGCAAAGTATGGATCGTGCATACACATCACTGTACTCCTACCCTGGCCTCTCTCTGCAGAACGGCACCCGCGAGCGCCCCCTGTACATTAACCCTCTGGCGTCAAATTACGATCCGACTCTCAGCACTCAGAAGGACCACCAATCTCAAGATCCGCCCTGGATGAACCGCATCCAGGAGAGATCACAGCAGGTCGATCGCTTCATCTCCACAGCAGAGTCCACTCACTGCCGCAAGCAACCCCGACCGGTACGCTTACAAACAGCAGGGATGCACATAAAGCAGGAGGCCGAAGACGAGTACAGCTGCTACGATAATTTGGGGGACTGCCAAGACGACACTGACCATACTGAGGGTGTAGAGAGTGAATCCAAGGTTGAAAGTTTTGACTCAGGGGTGAGCTCTTCCATCAGTACTGAGCCAGATGCTATGGAGCAGCAGTCGTACCTGACGGGCTTTGGCCGAGACGTGAGCGGGGACGGGCAGCAAGGTGAAGGAGCTCCAGTGCATATAGAGGTCAATGACTCGTCCCCAGAGCAAGTGCAAGAGACAGAGGACGGGGACACATCCCACAGCACTAGTGACAGTAGCATGATGCAGCCCCTGCCAAACTCAGTCATGTCCCAGTCCCTGTCAAGTGCCCCGCACTACATGCGCTCGGCAGAATCACACACCAGCAATCTGAGGATGCCGCTCACCGTGACCAGCAATTCCCAAGTGATGGGCACTGCTGGAAGCACCTTCCTGCCCACACTCTTTCCTACACAGCCGGCTAGAGACAACAAGCCTTTCCTTTACCTTCCTGGCCAGCAGCAACCCCAGTTTGTGGCAGTGCCGCCCCCTGCAATGCCATCATTCCCGAACCCCATGTCGGTACAGCAAGCGCCACCTCAGCAGCAACAGGCTGCAGGAGGACTTGGTCCTGGGGAAAAGAAGCCCTATGAATGCACTCTCTGCAGTAAAACCTTTACTGCTAAACAGAACTACGTCAAACACATGTTTGTCCATACTGGTAAGTCTAAACCTCTTATTTGTAGTCTTTGTTTGTTATTATTTAAGCTCAGTTCAGTGATTATAATATTCATAGCTAATGTAGGTAGTGGCTGTGCTGTGCAGAAAAGACTATAGAAATATTTTTGGTTAGGGGGTGACAGGTTCTTACATCAAAAGTCTTCTTTTAATTATTATATGAACACATGGTGAATACACATAACATATTAAAAATGTTTCTTTGTCATAAAACAAAAGTAATTGTAGACCAAAGGGTATTCATTTTTCATTTCTGCTATTATTACGATTACAACATAACAGTATAGAGCTGTGTCCCTTTCCCCTTCAAATAGTGATTTTCCGTAGCCCTGGAAAGCCCTGGATATGGTTAGGTGTCACAGTGATGTCTGGTTGAGGATAGAGTTAAGGTTAAGGTTGGGTTCATATTAAAGGAAGAGAAAACACCAATCAGAGGGGAATCAGAGTTTGATGCAACATCTCAGAAAAAGATAAGTCTTAGATATTTTAAAAATAATTGACTTTCCTTGCTAAATTCAAATGGCAGATTAACTTTTCCTTCTTATCCAAATTATTATATTAATACTATTAATATAATAAACAAATACTGTAAAACAGTATACTATGACCATTAGAACAGAAAACATACTGTATACTGTAATGTATAGTATTACTACTGTATATTTGCTGTGTTTTTATACTGGAAAAGTGTTAAAAAATGTAGCCTCAAAATGTACATTCATTAGGTCACAGTTGCCAAGCATCTTTGTTATCATTTGTATCTGACTTACAATGATTGCTCGTGCAGCACATCATTACACTGTGCACTGCTTTCTTCCAGCACTGACAGCCTTATCAATCATAAACTGTAGAAATCATCATCACAGAAAGAAAGAATTAGATATCATATAATTAGATGATCTCATAAAAACTGCCTACTCATATAGCCATTATTATTCATTAGAATCCATTACTTTGGCAAAGCCACCTGTGAATGCTTTTTCAAACCAAATTTCATATTTTAGTCACGCAGTTGTGCGGAGCAGAGTGATGACACATTGAGAGGGAATGTCACTGATACGTCAAACCCATGGACGAGAGCTAGAAGTCCCCAAAAAATATTATTCAAAAAGCAACAGTATGTGTTGTCCCTATGAGATGGCCATACATCTCCTACCTATACAACATACATTGTCTTTATTTCAGTAGAGAAAAAAGGGTAACCAAGAGGTTTATTTGGCAAATGTAATATATTACATCTTCACACCTGATGCATGAGGAGGGGGAGAAAACCTCTTTTTCAAAATTCCTAAAAAATGTGAGCGTAAACAAATTGTAATCAATACGCAGCCAAAATAGCTAAATAACAGTGGACACACCAGTTCTGTTGCATGATTCATGTAGAGGTAACGTGCCATTGGCTGTAATCAAAAAATCTCTCAGAGACAAAGGAGACATCTTTTCCATTGTATGAGTCACTGAATTGGAAATATGCTTCCCTAAAAAAGAGCAAGACAGTAAATACACCTGTTATATATGTTCTGTAACTGACCCTGACTTCCATAGAGCAGGTCAAGCTAAAGAAAACCAAAAAAAGTGTTAAAATAAAAGTATAAATTATTGGCTTTATTTAATCAAAGCAGGTATGCTGCAAATTAATTCACTCACTGCAGCAGCAAACAGTAGATACACCAGGCTTCATTAACAACTTGCCTATTCGCACTGTTGTCCGTCTCTCCCTCTACCTGTTAGTTCTATGTAATTATTATTAATATGTTAATATTTCACAGCCCTTAATGTCAGCACAGACAATTATTTTAAAATGAGCTTATACCTCAAACTGACAAAAACACCAAAGAGAGTCGCACATTCTTTGGTTCATTATCGTATGGGAATTATCACTAGTGTGTGGTTTTCAATTCTTTTCTCGTAACTCAACCTTTCTGTGTCTGTAAAGGAATTACAGCAATTCAAATTTTTTATAAAATATCAATTGTACAGTTCTGTTACAGTTTTTAAATAACTGCTACATTATAGGAAACCTTTTCTCACACAGCAGCTAGCGGAACCAGCATCATAACAAAACTAATACAGGTTTGAATAATTCTAGCCTGAGGTATGTTCCTGTACTGGAAAAGTAACTGCTGGCTTCAGGCATCCTGCACAAGTTCTTCCACATTTTGTAAACCTAATCCTCAAAATGTGTCCCTTCTTTTTTCCCCTTAATGCTTTTGTCTTGCATGTACATCCAGGTGAGAAGCCTCATCAGTGCAGCATCTGCTGGCGCTCGTTCTCCCTGAAGGATTACTTAATCAAACACATGGTGACACACACAGGGGTGCGGGCCTACCAGTGCAGCATCTGCAACAAGCGTTTCACCCAGAAGAGCTCTCTCAATGTCCACATGCGGCTGCACCGTGGAGAGAAGTCCTATGAGTGCTACATCTGCAAGAAGAAGTTCTCACACAAAACCCTGCTGGAGAGGCACATGGCCCTGCACAGCACAGGCAGCGCCATCACAGGCCTGTCGGGGAGCGCAGGTACCCCGGGCCCAGTCTCCATTCCCATCCCTATGGCTGTCCCTGAGCCTGGAGCTGGAGTGGTGGCCCTCGCCATGCCAGTGAGCGGAGGTGCTGGAGTAGGGGCTGGGGTTGGAACAGGAGTGGGTGTAGCCGCAGAAGCGAGCTGCCAAGAAGGGACCACCTACGTGTGCTCCGTCTGCCCTGCCAAGTTCGACCAAATAGAGCACTTCAATGACCACATGCGAATGCATGTCTCCGATGGATAAGTACTAATAGATAAACTTCTTTCAAAAAGAATGACAAATAAAATGGCACTAGATTTTCCTTTTCTTGTTTTGAGGTATGAAGAGTAATGAGTATAGACACTGGCACATTAAGTTTCCCAAAAAAAAGATTTTTTTTTTTCTGTTATTCTAAAAGGAAAAAAAAGATGGTGGCCTTAAGGCTTAGTAGTTTGATATTGATCTACTGGATGGATCCTAACTACAGGCCTCTAAATGTATGCTTTCCTAAAATACTGATTTATGTGTTGAACACTACCGAAAGGCCTACGAAAGAAACACATACACACAAACACACCTTTAGTGTAGATATGTCTGAATGAATATACATGTGCATATATGTTTGTGTATTTGCGTATTTGCATGTGTCTGTCTGTTTGTCCAAGTGTGTGTGTGTGTGTGTGTGTGTGTGTGTGTGTGTGTGTGTGTGTGTGTGTGTGTGTGTGTGTGTGTGTGTGTGTGTGTGTGTGTACATTGCCATGAAACATAAATCATGGCAGTTGTGAACCCATATTGACCAGTTTGGAAACTATAGATGTCCAAGCTTACTGTGGTATAATTTACAACAACAATAACAAAAATCATCTGGGGTTGGGCTACATATTCCCTCTAAAAATACTGATGGTCACAAGATTGCCTTCTTATGTAAAATAAAAAAAGGAGAGTAGTTAATTTGACAGTGGGTTTTATTTATTCCTATGGTATTAAGGGATTATAATGCAGCTGTTGTCAAGGTACCAATTTCAATCATTTTACTGAAATGTAACTTCCTGTCGGTGGTGACAGGGACAAATATTTCTCACATGTTTTGTAATTGTTGTCCATGCATTGTGATGGTTAAGATTACGTTTACTAAATTAGGGTGTATTGATGAGACAGTATTTGAGCAAAAATATGTTTCTTTTTTTCTGAAGTTTGGAGTTTAACTCATTTGCATACACTGCCACTAATATCTTAAAAGACTGTTAAGGCTAGTAGACCTCTTCCATTTCAAAACACAAGAAAAAAAGAAAGATTCTTTTGCTGATGGTTTTTTTTAGCCTTTCACATTCACAGTTATGGCAGGCTGGCATATGCGACTAAACTCTCTCCTTCATAATTGCTGCTCCTCAACTTGCACCTGACTGTTATGGGATGTAGATTAAAAAAGGATTTGTCACTTTAACTATTGTTGTTATTGAGTAGCCTACACGGTTTTCATTTGATAATTGAATTATAATATCGGGGGGGGATTTAGGCTAGTTGTTGATTGGAACAGTGTTAAAGAGGGAGGGATTTAATTTGAATCAAATTTGAATTGGAAATAATTGCCATCCTCATCCTTAAAATCCTGTACAACCAGTTCAATACAATTGCACAGCTATTTCAGCAAGTGGGAGCTAAATGCATTACTCTTTATGTATTGGCTCTCCCTGAAGGCTCAAATGGCATGCAACGTTTTGAAAGGAAATACAGTCTGAAAGCAAAACAAGTAGCTCCATTGAAATCACACTGTTTCGTGATATACCACAAGTTGCAGACGGACTTTCTAGACAATAGTATACATTCCTGATTTTTCTAAAAACCCAGACACAGCATGTACAGAATAGATTTGGAAGCTAGTGTGCGCAAGTTGTCATCCATGCATCACATCACTTAAGGCTCATTTCTGATATTTGAATTGTTTTTGTAATTGCTTTTTACTCAAAATAGGACACACACACACACACATGCAACTGCCTGCAACTGCAATCTGAAGGATTTGCTCATTTATGTGAGCAAACACTTTCGTAGTTGTATTGTTAAAAGAATAACTGCATACAGTGGTCTTAAAAAGACCTGCTGTAGATAAAAAAAAAACAAAGTGCTACTTTGCACATTTTCTTAAAATGCCTGTGCTTAATATTTAATCATTTTCCTTAAATGAACTTCTATGATTTTCTTTTATTCAATTTCAAAGGAAAAAAAAACACATTTTTTTAAATCTTGATAAGTGGACTGCATTATTTTCTTGCATATATGTTGCACTGCTTAAACCAATAAGTGCACTACTGTTAACAGAGATATTATAGTTTTAGAAAAGAGGATTTTTTTTTTTTAAATCTAACATTTGGTTGTAGAGTTCACATGTAATAGAATAGCTTTGTTTCAATTTATTCATTAAGTAATTCAGCGGTTCTTGGCTTTTGTTATTGCTTGCAGTTACCTACAGTATATACTCGTGCCGTGTTAATGCAAGCATTTATTTTTATTTAAATATGTACCATTACGTGTGCTCATCTATGTTTTAATCTTTGAATTCATTCTTTTATGGAGTACGCTCTCTATAACAGTTATTCAATTGCATTTCTTCACAAACAGACAGAATTTTTCTTACAAAAACATCCAAGCCAAACAACATTAACAGTGAAACAACAACAGTAATAAAACACAACTCCCGTCCAACTCCGTTGGCGGAGGTAATAATAACTATTATTATATTATTAATAATAATACATTTATAATGTGTGTGTGTGTAACATAAATGATGTGTGTGTCCTAGAACAACTTTCTGTGGGTTTAAAGGTGTGGGGAGGTGATGGAATGCAGCTTCTTTGATATCTGTCTGTCACTTGTACACAGTTCTGTCCCTTCCTTAGTGTTTGTATGTCTGTGAGTGTCTGTGTGTGGTATATAGCCTAATCAAACTGTTGATAAGTGGAATATCTGAACTGTAGGGCTTCCTTAGCAATATGCAACGCAGGTACTATGAGAAGCAGCTCTCCAAACCTTTTGGGCTAATGTGGCACCTGTAACATTTGTTATGAGATTCGACTAAAGCAGAGGTCAAGTACCGTTGACTTCGTCATACGCGTTTGGAGGAGTTATTTCCAGCATTTTGATGCTAAACTTTATTTAATTGCTACTAGATTTCCTGTGGAGTCAGTTGAAGTGAAGTCAAGTGACCAACATGTGAGACACGGAGAGATTCTGTATTCCGGTTTCTCCCCCAGCTAAAAAAAGAAAATATTGACCCACACGTTAGAAATATGCTGAAAAAGCGTGAGGTTAGTCTGCAGTAAAAGTAGCACATTATTTAACATTTGATTGGGCCTGTCTCCTATGGTGTGCATATAAGCCTAAATTGTATGGTTCCTGTTTGTAGCTGTTGTTGCCAGGATGGCAATATTGCTGCATGCTAGTGCTATATTTGTCTCTACACAGCACGTGGAGGGTAATCTCATGCCTTAACAGACAATGCACTAAATAGAATATGTAAGCAACTGCCGAGATCTCTTTCCAACAGTACTGCCACATGTATGGCACACAGCTCATGATGTTGGTGTTTGTTGTCTGTTCAGTACCAAGTTAAACACTGCCAAACTAACATCATCACTTCTTTGAAAGCAAAGGCAGAGACATGAATTGAAGTGTTTCAGTGTAATGTATGTATCCAGTAATCTAGCATTCCTTCATGGCACCTAAATTTTACATATTTTGTGTGAACACATATATCAAATGCACTATTGACTGTAGCTAGATGAGTACAACCAGCTTTGTGGTATCATTGGTCTAAATAGTAGGTTAAGTAGCTCGATGTTGGTTTTTGAAATATTTGATTTCAGAATTACACTATCAATTGTTTCTCTATCTTTTTATTTTTTTCGGAATAACAAAAGTAGCCAATCTCAACGTTATCTGGATGAGGGCTAATAACTCGTCCCATTGTCAGTTGACTTCTTGTATCATAAGGTGTTTGATAACAGACCAGGCTAGGAAGGGGAAGAACCTTCTCTCCAGTGTGTCATTACATGCTATAGCATATCCCAGGCTTTCTCTCCCCCTCCCCTCTCTCCCTCCTCCTCCCCTGTTGCATTAGCATCACATGCTCTTCACTGTCCATAGTTATATATTCCTTATACTGCTTCAGCTACTCGTGGTGGTGCTTAATCCTCTTTTCTCAGTGTTGCAAAAAGTCGGTTGAAAATTGTTGAAAAGTTGCAACATTATCCAGAAAATAAGTCCTTATCTCAATCGTGCTTCTTCTAGTTGTTAGTTTGGAAAAAAAAAAAGTCTAGGCTTTATGTTTGCAAAGTGTTCGCATATTTTCCAGAACAAAACATATTGAAAAGTAGATAATAGCCTTGAGCCTGCAGCTGTTTGTATTGTGTTTCAAATATATTACTGTTCATGTTTTGTTTATCTTAGTGTAGAGACACAGGGTCTACAGTACATTGTTGTCCTTCTTGCAGTATGTTTAATTCATCGTTATACTTCTTTATTTCAGGCTTCCTCCTGCTTTTTTTTTAATGGTGATCATAGTGGTGTTGTTTATACATACATAGCTTCATGCAACTGGATAAAGGATAGTCAGTTATTGAGTCATATGTCACAGTGTAATATACAGTATATGCTTATATGCTTTGCATTGAGATGAAAACAAGGAAATGGAAGATAGTAATGGTGAGGGTCATGTTGAGTAAGGAACAGGTTCATTTTATTCTGATAAGCATGTGTCTGTCTTCCTGTTTGTCTATCAGTCCATCTCCACACATTTTAAGTCAGAATTTTTTTATTTAAGCCTGAATAAAGTCACAAAGTTAAGAGTAGAATACAGAAAACACATGAAACCATTCAGATAATACGTAACTGCATTGTTTTTTTGTTTTTTTGCCTTCTACAGTACACATAAGAGTGAAATAAATAACTTCTTACAAATATACTATATATATTTAAGTATCACCATCTCCACACAGATGAAGAATACATTTTCAGATAGTTTGATAAAGACATAATTGCAGCTAGAGTATACAGTACCTTGTGGGATATAGGGAATATGCCTATCAAGTGCCTATCAGTACATACAGCAACTATACAGAATATTCATAGTTTTTCTCTCCTACATTGCACAGATACAGTATATACACAATGGTCTATTAAAATATACTATTTATACTATTACTGCTAAGACCTGGTGGTTGTGAGTGCATCCTAAGAGAACCCTTTAAAATACCTGAAATGTTCTATACATATACAGTAAAGGCTACATCTGCAAGTTTTATTTTTTAACTTACATCTATACAGTTTTGGAGGATTCAAAGATATAAAATGCAATCACGTTTTTGACGCTTTATCGTCTAAATAAAAAAATAGGTTGAGTAGGTTCTGATGGTTCCTAAAAAAAAAGAAACATTGAATGACCTTTTTTTTTTCCTTTTTCAGTTTGCTCTCCCTTCTTACTGTTTGGCATTTTACACATGCCGGTTTTTTCTGTTTTCAGTTTTTGCCATTTGCAAACAAGCCATATGCTGTACTGTATGTTTGTGGGGGAAGGGCAGTGGCACTTTGTGAACAGCAGAGGGAGCCACACATCAGCTGGAAGAGGTGGAGTTAACGCTGTCTGCCACAATGAACGAAAACCCCAACTCAGATACTTGGATATTTTTAAGATCTTGTTGCGGGTAAATATTGCAATTCTTCAGATTATAATAACATCTATAAGCATGGCAGTGGTTACCTCCACTGGTAGGAACTGGCAGCTGCACTACTTTTTCAAAGTACACCATGTGTCCTTTGACCTTGATGGCAGGCCCTTCCACATGCAAGCCAATGCCCAGTTTCCCCAGAACAATCATTAAAGTGTTATCTTATCTGACAGCATTATTGTTTACGTACAGCTTGAAATTGTAAAGGGCAACGAGCAACGTGAAAAAAAAAAGAAAGAAACTGGTCATTAAACGTCATCTACTCACAGTAGATATTTATAACCACTACTTGGAGGAAAAAATGAGATTACAAATTGAAAGTTTTGGCAATGGCGAACACACAGGCTGCATTCAAATGTCTTTAAGTGGTCGGTTTAACAACATGAAAACAAAACTAAAATGAAAGTATAGTGGAATAAAAAAACAAATCAAGTTTCAGGACTGAGTGGCTGTGAGATAAAAGGCTTTGGGATGGCTTATTATTCTTTCCCCTGTGGACTAATTACCACAGTTTTCTCTCTAACCTTCTCCAGCCTAGTTACTGTGCCAAATTTAGGAGGGAAAAAAACACTTTTTAAATTATGCCACTGTTGTTAAATTAGATGTGAGAACCGAGCAGAAAAGCGAAAAGTTAAAGAATCATTCTAAGTGAGAAATTTCTGTAAAGCCTATAACATGAACACAAAATGCATCGTACCAAAAGCGAGTGATTGCTTCTATTTTGAATCTTTACATCCTCCATAATACATTGTTTTCAAGTAAATAGGAGAAAACAGCTATGATTAACAAATGCACACTTTGAAGGCTTAGTTTCATATACATTAAATGTTAAAAAGGAGCATTGATAATATAGGCGATGTGATATAGCTAGTCCCTGTCATCCAACCGTCACACACTGACACACACAGACAGCAACTGCTCATATCTTACAGTGAAACATTCAGATTCTGTTCTTACACACACACAGTGAAGCAGCTGTTCAGATTTTAAAGTACAACTCAGCTAAACTAAGCTATAATAACATCTAGATTATATTATTACTTTCTCCGAACATGCAGTTATTACACTACCCTGATGAGGTTTTTAATAAAACGTCTTCATCAGGTAGCTACCATTGATCAGTCCAAATGAAGCATGCAGTCCTGTCTACACAGCTTTTTCCTGTAGGGGGTTACTTTGTTTTTCATGGAGCACAAACTATATTTTGAGTGCCCCTCGATAACAGACTTTCTGTATCTCTTTTAAAAAAAAAAAAACTCACTATGGTGAGGAGGCTCAGGCGTGATTTAGCCTCTGAAGACTGAACACTGAGCCTCTTTGTGTTCTCACTCGCTGTAGTCTTTTTGGCTTAGTCCAGCTCGATGAGACAATTAGTTTTTAAAGTGTGCAGCAGCGTAACTAAAAACATGCATTCCTGTTCAAGTCCAGAACATTCCAACTCCTAGTCTGGCATTTGTTTTCCACACTTAACTAACCTAACATTAAGGAGGATTTCCAGCGCTTAATCGTTTTAAAGATCTGTTGGATATTTTATTATGTAGTAGCAAACATTGCCCATTACATCAAAGTTTAGTAAAAAGAAATGTACATTTCCCTCAAATAGATCAGTTTTTAAATCTCATCTTGCTGTTTATTCAAATTTTGCCATGAGATCACGAACCTCATAAGCACAGCTTATGCTCGTGTGGACTGGTTCTATAGACAACATGCACTATGCTATCACTCTGTTTCTCTATGTAGGTCTCTTTTTTATAGTGCAGCAGTGACGTAAATAAAAAACTGCAAAAAGAAAAGCTCTTCTTCACCACGATGTTGGTCACTGTCTCAGCCAGCACGTCGTCTGCCATAAGGGACACGCAGACTTAGATCAAACATTTTTAGCACTGTAATGTTCCTAAAGGGGCTGGTGGTGGTAATTTGTAAAATGGGGCCATGCTAATCATTAGAGGTCAAATGGGGGAAGAAAAAAAAACTGTACTAGACAATGTTTGTTTTCACAAACCAAAGAAGGGTTAAGATAATTTAAGTTTTATGGAGAAAATAACATTTCTTTTCTGTGTGTGTGGGGTTCCTACGGTTGGGCTAGATTGCTACAGTTGTTTTGTTTTTTGGGGGTTTTCTTTGTTTTTCTTCTCATTGCAGGGTGCTTGTGAAAATGCATCTATGTTTTGTCACTTGATCAGTTGTTTATAGTTTTGTGGTTGTGTTAATTTGCCTATTGTAGACCAAAATCTTTTTTTTTATATAAGAAATGCAACAAAAGATAAAAATGAATCTGACACAGTAGCTGTGATGTAAACTATCGCATGTTAAAACATGTATAAGATTGTAAATGTTGCATTGTTCCTCTGACAAAAAACATAATACTCAGTAATCACCGGTTACGTCTTCTATACACACATTTAGCAAATCAGTGTAGACCTGTTCACCTTCACATTGGATTATAGCAGTTTTCTTCAAATATTGGCACCGTCTAATATTTTCAGGCTGTCCCTAAAATACTAATCTGACATTGTGACTTAAGAGTACATTTAGCCATTTACACTTGAGATGGACCAAGATGTTAAGTTTGCACATATTTGTAGGTTGTTTATTAAGCCAAAAAAAAAGGAAAGAGAGAATAAAGATACACAACTTTCAGTCAGATCTAGGTGAGGCGATATTACAGTCGTTCATGTTCGCTGGGGGAAAAAAAAATAATCATCCAGCCATCACTACATGACGAAAATTAATTCAAAACCAAACTGTGACACGAATTTAAATATCACAATGTGGTCCAAATATTTATGAAAGTGATTACAATATATTTTTGTAATAACAACACACATCATCTTCAAGCGGAATGTAAACCATTTGGCAAAATCTGACAATATTTTATTACTGTAAGGTCTAATTCCACGTGAATCTGCTGTATATTTTTCATCCTGTGTGTTTAAAATAGCAAATTGAAATACTGTAATTCGGGCGATGTTTTGTACCTGGAGGTGAAGACAGAATTTCTCAAATATTGCCATTACAAATCAGAAATGACATGTGTCCTAATCAAAGCAGCTTAGGTTTTTGTTTCATCTGGCTTTCAGGCTTTTTGCTGCCATATCTTGTATGTAGATGCTTTTTGTAAACATGCACTTGAGTTGAACTATGAGATGTGCTTATAAATATGTGTATATTTTGTTAGGCTCTTTTTGGCCTACGTTAGCTTGATATTTTATTATTTCCCTAAAAATACTTCTCCTATATAGTTATGAACTTGGCAGAAGTGGAGCTGTTGTAGTAAAGGTAGTTAACATCACAACTAAGCAACCCTGAAATATATGCTGCAGTAATGTGTTTTCAGTTTGTTTTTGATAATTTATGCTCCAAGTTGGTTTGTATTTTATTATTATTATTGTTATGAAACAAGCTTGTTTGAAATGTATTGACTGCTGTTTTAAAAAATAGGGGATAAAGTTTCTTTTTTTTTTAATGTATGTGCAAGGACGTTTTTATAATATGATTTGTCAAACACTGGACTGGAGTGAGTTTTCCAACATTTCCAAGTTGAGAGATGTATTTGACAGACATAACTGCACAGACGACACCCGTTAGCACAGATGTGAGCTGACAGACAAAGCACATCCTCCCAGCTGTACAGGGGAGGGTGACTAACATGGCCGCCATCCTACCCGCTCAAAAATAGTCATAAGATGTAAGAAGTTAAGACATTTCCTTTGTGCTGGTTTAATTGCATTCATTGGGTGATGGGTTATATATAATAGAAAAAATATTTATTAGGGTTTTCCTTCCAAATTGTTGCATGGCATCGACTGGTGACAGATTTTTTTTCTTTTCTTTTCTGCAAATAGAAAGAGTGCTCGCATTAATATTCAGAAAAAATCGTAAAGGGATACCACTTGACAGCTATCCAGTTATCAAAATCACCTGGTGTGTTCTTGCTATGGTAGAGCAGATATGACAGTTGAGTCTCATTACACCAACCACCACTTCTCAAACCAGAAAAGAGATTTGCACTAGACTTATTTTGGTCTTCTACTATCAAAAGCAATATAATTCACTCAACACATTTTTAAACCATAGTATGTGACGGTTGTCGCCCACAGTGGCAATGCTGAGTAAATGGTGATATTTGACGAGTTTTGATTTGTTTTTGTTTTTGTATTCAAAGGTACAGAATCGGTCACCTTTTTTAATGCACATCCACGTGTTGTTGTTGTTCGTAGCAGGTTATTTTGTACCCAGCAGTACCCCGAGTATTAGTGTCCAGATTTGAGGGGCATTAAAACTGTTGTTTCCTCCTGTGATTGTTTTGGACAAATCAAGCAGCTCTTACAGATCTGAAGTGAGAGACGGGATGTATGAGGGATGGAATCATTTCCCATGAGTCAAACTTGTCGATCGTCTTCATCACACAGCCAACAACATTATTAAAGATAAATACGAATACCAAAAGATAACCCCAGCAGTCCACTGTCCTGCACACCGTTCCCCCTTTAAAAACACTCGTCTTTCTCCGCATATTTGGTAACTTTTGAGTGCTTCTTGCTGGGATGTTACAAAAAAAATGCTTTAAAGTGAAATAATAATGAAACGCTTCTTAGAGGAAGAAAAAAAAATCCAAATGCACCTTTTTTTGTCGTACAAACACAACATCATTGGCCACATAGGTAGGAGAATCTCTGTCCACCAAAATGTATCATACGTCATCCTTTTTCCAACGAGGTCATTCACAACAGCAGTAATTATTGACCTTAACGTCGTTATTTTGTTGATGGATAAGTGTAAATTTTTCAATAATTCACAAACAGCAAAACTTCACCATTTTATCTGGATGTAGTAGCTTTCCTGTTTTCACCGCTTTGTGGTGTTGTTGAAAGATGTTGCGGTTTGTCTAAATATGTTGCGTGTTAGAGGAAGCATAAGTATGTGCCTTCTTGTAATCTCCTTGGTGAGCTTGTTATTATTGAGAAGCTGAAGCCAGCCAATTGTGTTTGCACTAAAACCAAATTGCTTTTGTGATGTAGACTATTTAAGCAAGCTTGTTGCGTCACTTTAACCGTACAGTATGCATGAGGGTGAAATTGGTAAGTCTAGGGCTAGAGCTCTCATCTGTTGACCTGTAAACCAGTGCAGCTTAGAGGATCTTGTGAATATATCTTGGCTTAGTTTCGCATTCAGTTTTCAATTCCATCTCCTTACTCATCAAGTTTGTCACAATTTCGACAGTTCAAAGAAAAAATATAAAAAAATCAAATAAAAACGAGAAAAAAAAAAAGCAAATAACACATACCATGAATACAATACAGCTTTTACTTTCACATGCCACAGTTAGAGAGTTACACAACTGCAGCAGAGATATTCATTTCTCTGAATCCATGGGAATGCATGAGTATACGAGGTCGCCTCAAGACTATTGGTCAAATTAATTTAGGTTGTTTTTTGAAAACTTGTATTTATTACACATTTTGTTGACATCTAAGAAAGGCCTACATGCTTTGAGTCTTACAAATGCACCTTATTCATGTCAGTCCATGTGGGGAAAAAAAAGGCTGGCAATGTAATATCTCTGATTTAGCACCTTACTACACAGCATGTTTTCACTTTATGCCAGTTTAGCTATTCTTCCATATGTATGATTTCAAAAATAAATCTCATATTTTGTGAAATTGTTTTCATGGGATGTGCCAAAGTTTGGAGGCGATCTCCCAAGTGTTTATGCTTATCATTTTCTTTTTCTCCTCCTTCAGTTATAGCAATGGTATGTCAAAACTTTCCTATAACAGTGTGTGGAATCAATTTATCTCAGCAAACAGTATCATTACTTGCCATTTTACAATAAGCCCTGTATTTCACATATATTTACCAGTGATGTGTATTTGTTATTATAAAGAAAATAGCCGTAAAAGCTTCATTATGTTACATAATATTGTGACTTTTTTCGAAAAACTGTGAAGACTTATCTTGCATATACTTTATACAGAAGTATTAAGCCTTAATACAAAAGACTAAAAAAAGTGTGGAAGAATAAACTGATTGTTGCTAAGTAAGGATGATTTTTGTAAATGTTACCAGCACTTTTTTTGTAATTTTCACTCTCTGAGGTATTGTACAAGTTCAAGCTGTTTGTGAAGTTTGATTATGAAGGAATAAAAACTAGTACTTTCCTGTACTTCACAGAAGGTCTTGTTGCTGTTTTTCTTTTTCTGTTCTTTTTTTCCGGTGGTGTTTTTTCTCATGAATATAGTGCCCAGAAATATATACAGAAAGTAACCTTTTGTCTTTAAAAAGGGTAAACGTTTGTGCAATAAAGCTTCCATGGGCGACCTTTCACATGACTGCACTGCCAAGAACTACAAACTGACTTCTAATGAATGCATAAATCCAGATAGATAGATAGATAGATGGTATTCTTGGTGTAAATATAATCAAATAAATGAGCTGTATTTGCTGAAATGAAGCCCATAAATAAATGCTCATGTGTGTTGATTCCAAATACAGTTGGAAGTGACTTAATAACAGGCTGGATGGTATCCCAGAATGCACTGGGCAGAAGGCAGGGAACACCCTGGACAAGCTGCCAGTCCATTACAAATGTAACGGTGATTAATAAACAATCAGTCACACCTCGGTTCACACCTGCTGAACAGGCGATTGGAGGGTGCAGTCCACTTCACTCACAAGTGTTTGGACTGTGGGAGGAAGCCGGTGCAGCCAACTACGTAAACTCCACACAGAAAAGATTTTCCTGGAAGCAGATCCTGGGTCAGTCCTGCTGTGAGGTGTCTGGATAGTGTCACAGCCACCAGAACGCGTCAATATGACCCTTTATTGATTCTCCTGATTAATTTAAAACTCTGTGCTGCAAGATTAGCTAACAGATGAGTGTTAAACTGTAGTTTCTCCTACAAATACATACATAAACTGATCTCTAATAACCACCTTTAACAGTCATTGAGAATAAATTAATATCCTCTAATGTAAGCGCAGTCAGTTTTTAATTAGATTTTTTAAAATAGTCTTTGTTAATGTCACAGTTATGGCTCCTTATAATTGGGTTGTAATCTGGTAAACACATCAGAGAACAATAAAGAAGACACTCTGCATTGTATTCAAATACTGGATTCACTTTGTATTGAAATATTGGTGTGAAAGATTTATTTGGTGGAATAAATTATAAGCGTTTATGAATTCAGAATGAGCTCGCCTGGGTGGAAAAACGATGGTTGCTTCACACAGGGATGGCTATTTATCGTCTTTATTTATTTGACTCTGGACTGTTAACATTTTTCTTAGCTTTCAGCTTTAAATATTGACTAAAATCACACTGTTGACATTAATGAAAAACAGTGGCAGCCTAATTAACAAAATTATTTATTTCTTATTTTAAAAAGAATATTTTCTTTTTAAAATAACATTGTGTGTAAAGTTAATCACAGTCATACCTGATCATAAATTAGGGCCACAGATGTTAGGAGTAATGTCTGTGACACACAAATCAATAAAGTCTGAGGTAAACTCATTTGCAAAATTATATAAATGATCCTTTAATAACCAGTGTTTGCTTATTTATTCATGCAAATATAGTTCATTTATCTTGTGATAGTGATGTATTGCGTTATATTGTGCAATTCTGAACAAAATGAAAGGGAGGAAACAGCCAACCTAGAACTTGATATTTACACTAATGTAATACACCTTTAAACTGGGACTGAGCCTTCATAAAGACACTGAACACTCACAGTATCTATCAGCAGCATTACACTGATGGCTCCTCCACCTTCATACACTGGACACACACACACACACACGGTCACTTAATACTCACTATGTTTGATAAGGAGATAAATCAGATTCAGCTTTAAGGCACTCCTCATTGAGAAACTCGAGCACGCGCAGAAAGGCAACGGGAGCGCGGGAGTCTGGCACTCGTTTGCAGCGGGCGCCCCCTGCCGTCGGTCCTCGGTGTCTCAGGCCGGGTGGAGGATTAAAAGCAGGGAGGAGCGTACCGTGAAACTTCCGCTTGTGTGTGTGTGTGGGTGTGTGGGGGAGTCACCGCTAAAATGTCACGGTGACGGTGTCATCTCCTTCACGTGACGTTGCAGGAAAACGTGTTTATTTAAGGAAGAAATGCACCTGTCGGGTTTACCTGTCCGTGAAGGGAGAGCTCCTGTGACGCATTAAGATCAGATAATGTGTATACTTAAAAGGAGACTTGGTTTTTAGATCATCCCGGATCAAATCTAGTCTAATACCAAGTCCCGAAGTCTAGACGTGTGACTGGGTTGTCGGATGTACCTGGATGTAGATATGACTAGTGAGGTTGGTATTTATCCAGTTGAACCTCTACCAATCCACCGGTATCTGTCACACCTTGTGTTCACGTTTGTTCCAACAAGTATGAAGTCAAGCAAGGACACACACCTTCAATTCATTCACGCACTGTGGAGGCAAATTTCATCCTGCATTTAGCATCTAGTGTCTGCTGTCAAAGTAGATTTCCATACGGTTTGTGTCTTTAACGGAGTCCACCTGGATGCATTGTGGTGTATCTGCATAAGAGTGGTAAGTTTGTCTTAAAACCCCAGTTTTTCCATTAATTTAGGGCAGTATTCATTTATAATCCTTACAAATGGTGAATATTTTATTAATTTCTCTCAAAAGCTAGTTATTTGCCTGCTGTTTAATAACTGAGTGAACGCTCCTGAAAGTTAATTTAGATCTGCTTTAAGAGGTATCCTGAAACTAAACAAACACGTATAGATTCATTATCGGCTACTGACTATCAGCAGCCTGTCGAGACACTTTCAAAAGGAGCCAACGCTCAGGCGTTCTACTCTACAATCCTAGTAGTGACCACGGTCAAACCAGGAAGGCTCAGGAAGAGATAAGCGTGAGTAAATATAGCAGATGGGTGTAATCCACTTCGTGCATTTCATTATCCAGTGAGTGCTCATCTCATGCACTGACATTAGAGGAGACAGTCAACATCAGTGGTTTAGTTTTGTTCCCCAGAATAAATTTATTCGAGTTGGGACCATACAAACCTAGTGAATGACAGGAGGAGGTATCGATTTCTTTAACAGGAATGACATTGGTAAAGAGGGTGTGGAACGTTTAAAATCATAAAGATGCACAACGTACAGCCATCGCCCACAGCTAGGGGTGAGACACTATGTTTGTTCCCATAAATAAGGCAGAATGTTGAGTCCATAGAAATGGAAAGTTATTACATTTAGCCAAATTGGACAGTGATGTGACATATGAAGACTTAGATGACTTTCTTCAGCTCATCGTACAACACCAGCACAAAGGCGCCGCCCATGCCTCTGAGCACATTGGACCAGGCTCCCTTGAAGAAAGCCTTGCCACCCTCATCGCGTGCAATCTTACGCCAGCAGTCAATGGTCCCGCTGTACATGATGTCAGCTGAGGACGGTAAGAGAAGAGCAGGAATTAGATAATGTGAGCAGAAATAAGCTGACAGAATGTACAATGTCTTTGCAGCAGCAGGCTTCAATAAATACAAATAAACTCACCTCCTTTGCGTCCGGACTGCATCATCATACGTCTACGGACAGTGTCGAAGGGATATGAGGTCAGACCAGCAACAGCTGTGACGCTCTGTGCAATCATCCAGCTCACCAATATGCTGGTATTCTTGGGGTCTGGAAGCATACCTGTAAAGATAAGGAGGGAAAAGACAGTTTCAGAAGATGTAAACTAGCTTCTATAGAGGTTTCAGTGTGTGCCAGTGTACAATCAACCTACCCTTAGCTGTATCATAGATTCCGAAGTATGCAGCCCTGTAGATGATGATGCCCTGCACAGACACATTGAAGCCCTGGTACAAGCCCTTCAGACCATCAGACCTGAAGATCTTAACCAGGCAGTCTCCGAGACCATTGAACTCTCTTGTGGCTCCAGCCTTTCCCACGTCAGCGGCCAGACGGGTACGGGCGAAGTCGAGGGGGTAGACAAAACACAGAGAGGTGGCTCCGGCGGCGCCACCGGAGGCCAGGTTACCGGCGAAGTACCTCCAGAACTGGGTGCGCTTGTCGACGCCATCAAGGAAGACCTTCTTGTACTTGTCCTTGAAGGCGAAGTTGAGGGCTTGGGTGGGGAAATATCTGATGACATTGGCAAGGTTACCTCTCCAGAAGGAAAGGAATCCTTGCTCCTTGGGGATACGGACAACACAGTCCATGATACCCTTGTACTGCATATCAGCGGTGATCTGCTTGCTGGCATGCTGGACCTGTAATAATGAAGAAGAGAAAGAGAGACAGGTGAAGTTTAAAACAGGAAAGCCAATTAACAGCAGAGCATATGTCAATCACATAGTCTCCTTGTTGTGACCTTGGTGCTTGTCAAACCTGTAAAAGCACCTGTAAAGGAGTTATGAGGTACAATTTAACAGCTATCAGTGTGTACCAGCAATCAAATGATAATGGGTGCAATGCGTAATACGCCACGCACTTGTTAATCTGAGATACAACATCTTCTAATATTGAGATAATTTTCCAGTGAGGCGGATGGTTGTCGGTATATGAAGGTGTAGAAACAATGTCGCAATGCAGGCTGATGAGAAATGGATGTGAAACGAGGTGACCCGGCAGTGAAGTGAGGGTCCCGGGCCCTGGACACAGCCGTCGCACTTACCGCTAGCTAACATCTTGAGATATACATTAGCCACCATTACGACATCATAGTCAATGAAAGCTAAAATAAAGTCCACATGTTGTCCTCTCTCCACCACCTATGAAATAGTAGAGTTGTATATAAATAAGAAGTGTTGCCATCTATCTGTACATAATGTCCCAACACCACTGCGAGGGTTTGTCCTTTGTTAGCTACACCGGCTAAGGTTACCGACAGAAGCTAACGTTAGCAGGCAGGCTCGTGTAGGTCACCCCCCCCCCATCCCGTGATGACCTCCACTCCTCTTAAACATCTCTTAAAACCCCCTCAATAAATCCTCTATTTAAACACACATGTCACCGAGTCTCGTACAAACCCGGAGTCTGAGTCTGCGGGTACGTTTTAGATGAACCGGCAGTCCGACGGCAAGCTAACAAGATCACACAAGCTATCCGACTAACGCAGAGCTCCTTCCGGAAAGCGAAAGACTTTTTATTTTACCTGAAGGAGAAGTTTCACTCTCTCGATCGGGGCGACCGCTGTTTTGGAGATGGCCGCAGAGATGCCGCCGGCCAAGAAATCCTTGGCGAACGAAATAGCTGTCTCATTCATCGACATGTTCTTGATGTGCCTTTCAAATAACCAGTACAGATAAATACCCCGCTGCCCTCTACAGCTGATGGCCCGCACAGACGAAATGGCCGATTGTCGAGCGGCATTGGGGATTTATATAACGTAGCGGCTCGCGATACTACACGGGAACTGTGATTCGACGACGCTCACCAATCCGCGACGTCACGAGGCTCTCCGCCAATTAAAAGAGAGAGAAAAGAAAAAAAGAAAAAAAGGGTGACGTCATTACGTTGCGTATGAACGCTGTGCTCTCGGCGAGTAGAATTAGAATCCTGATATTATAAAATAGGCTACGCGTGAAGAGGACTAAATTTAGGGCGGAAAACCAAATGAGTTACTCCGCGGACTTTGTTCTTATTTGGTTCTGTGCCCAGAGTCCCGCCCAGGAAGCGATAAAGACAGCAGCAGCCGGCCGGTCGCGGCTGTGCATCATACTTAAGGAAAGTCACAGGGTCGTACAGAGCTTCAAGGACTTCACAGAGAGCCACCATAATTACTACATACTGTTAGAAAATCAAATAAAACAATACTTTACAGCGAGGTGCACTCCTCTATATTAACAGGGCTTATATAACCTGTAACTTATTCACTAATTATTAACATATATGTGAGCTGTTGTTTAAACTAACACTTGTGTGCTGTTTGTAAAACATGGATGTCAATGTCAGTGATGTTCTTGAGCAACCCACTGTCACGTGTCTACTCTTGCTCTGCACGCAGCACAAGTTCACGAGCTCACTCGCTGAAATGCTGCATGCTCGTGTTTATGGCGAGAGCTGGTTTATGTTACTGCGTATGTCTGCGTTAGATTAGGCCCCACATTTCAAAATAAAAGTTTCATTCATTCCTTCATCCAGCTCAGGCTCGATCAAAGTTGTTCACTAGAGGGCGGCAAGAGACCTAATGTCTTCATTCAGCTGGAGAACATAACCCACAGATCTGCTGCATGCAGATGGATATAAATTACTAATGAGCAGAATAACTGAATACTTAAAAATGCATCGGAGGAATATTTTGAAACCTGCCAAATGGTGACTATTTAAAAAAGAATCTATCTATCTATCTATCTATCTATCTATCTATCTATCTATCTATCTATCTATCTATGTTTTCATAATAAAAGCATGTAAATGAAGTGCCATTCATTATTTATATTATATATATTATATTATATACATTATTTCCACGATCCAAGAGGCTGATAGCTATATGACCTCCTGTTCATGATCTCAGTGTTGTGACAGTGTGTTATAGTGGCTCTTATGTGTTCCTGTGACAGTGTGAATGTTTTACTTCAAGTCTCACTGAACCACAGAACTGGAAAAATATCTTTCTCATTCAGATGCTGCCAGCTGTTGAATGTAGTTGTGTCCAAGGCCTTGTTGATATATTATTATGTATATTATTATGCCAACCCATATTTATATTTTGAGCCCGTTCTGAATAAAACTCTGGCAGTGCAGTAAATACCTTTATCTCCCAGTAATACACCGGTGCATCTGTTCAGTGACCTGTGCATGTGTTCTGTAATGAACAGTGTTGACCAAAGGGAGGAGCTGCCGTGCTGCATGCAGTCTGAGGAGCCACAGACCGACTTCTAAAGCTGGAACAGGCCAAGATAACAGTGAATAAAACACACTGGGAAACTAATTGTACAAGGTAATTCACTATAACTGTAGTCTGAGAGCAGTGCAAGGTCTCCTGCTGCCATAGTTACTGTTGCCTTATTGCTTACATTGCTTTGTTGTTCTTGTTTGGTTGGATGCGTATTTTAATGACAGTCACTGTCCTCTTGTATTTTTATTGCCACTTGAGCGTCCAGTTGAACAGGATGTGTAAATTAATCCACTAATCTCCCCGCTGTCTTTTAATTAGAGTGAGGACAACAGGTCAGTGACATGCACTTTGCAATTTTAAATAGCTTTTGTTCTCTTTTAGTGAGAGGCAGCAGTGGATTTATTTAATCATATTTTTAGTGCAGTGTGTTTCACTGTAAATTGGATAATTTAATGAACTTCAGAGAAATGTTTCTACAAACATTTATAAATGGCTTTAAAGTGAAAAGAAATCAGTGCTGGGTTAAAACTTATGATCCAGTCTGCAGTCAGTCTGTTGCTGCTGTTCTTGTTTCCTTCAGAAGGTGCAAAAATTACAGCTGCTGTGTCAAACTCACAAATTTGTGTTTATATCCTGAATAATGCAGAGAGTGGAAGCCTTACAGTATCTCTACAGACACAAACTTCGCAGTGAAGCTGTTTATTTGGATAAATAAAAGAGACAAACTCAGGAGAGCACCACTCGCTTTGAGTATTTCTCAAGGCATGTCATCCCCCCCCCCCCACCCCACCAACCCTCTCCACCCACAGGTCAGCCTCAGCAGTGGAACAAGTAAAGATTTCACACTCCCAGTCCTGCTGTAAGCTGATACGAATGGAAAAGACTGGTGGTGCTGCAGACTTGTCTCAAGGCAGAGGAGGGAACATATTTAATTTAACATTTAAGCTCACTTCAGCAGACACATAAAGGCACCTGTGGGAACAAACAAACAAACCAAGATTTCTTCCAGAAACAAGGTTCAGTCAGACAGGTCCAAATGGAAACAGCACAGTCTTGCTTTGTCTGCTTCTTCAACCCTTTTTTTCCACTGAACGGTACAAGACCCATTAATGCAGTGTCAAGGTCAAAGCCACTACTCTGTGGAGATTTAACTTTAAATCCATTAAAAAACAAAAACAGCTCGGTTAATTAAATGGATTAGAGATAATTCTGTCGCTAAACATAATTGACTTTTCAATGCAATCTATAATAAACACCTTGTGTTGTCCATCATGTTGATGCCTGAACTTGGCTGCATCAACCCAGCTGTTCTCCCAGAGGAAACATTTGAACATCCCACAGGCATATTCACACGTGTTTGTATATGTGCGTGTGTGTGTGTTGGGGGGGGGCAATCAAATTGCGCCTTTAACAGAGATGCGCCATACAGTCTCTGCGCCCTGATCTGAGCTGGACAACTGGAGCTGCGACGCAACCACGCGCAAGTCCAAATGCGACACAACTCACAGATGGAGGCTGTTGCCTGACTGTCTGTCTGTCTGTCTGACTGACTGGAAGTGACTGGCTGATCATCGGAAACTTTTTTTGGATAAATGTTTTGGAGATTTACCGAATGCGTCCGCTAGAGATCAACACAACTGGGATCCGAGAAATAAATGGGACAACAAAAATCGCGAGAACTTGAATTGCTCCGGTTGTGTGCACGGTTCAGTTTGGCCAACTTTGTGCACTAGCACCCTCCGATCTGCCTCAATCTGTCCGTGCGGGCGCAGCAGCAGCAGAGGAGGAGGCGGCTGGATGTGGCAGGAGTCGGGTCACTGAGCTGCAGCGAGCCGGGTGCGAGTTTCCCAGTCCACAAGTCCCCAATGTCACCGGACAGGATGATGATCATTGGACTTCTGCTCAGTGTCTTCTCTCATGGTACGCAGTATATTTATCCTTTCCAACAGCTGGTTGAGATGTAAAATAGCCCTAATAACCACACCGCTGAGATTGTGCCATTCATTTAGTCTGTGGGGCTCAGAGTGTTTGTTCCCTTGTGGAAGAAATCTTGTCTTTCAGTACCCAGAACTTGAACAAGAATAAGGCGTGTGTTACAGTTTTTTATTTTTATTTAATGCAAATGTTTGTTGAATACCAACAATTATAGATTGTAACAAAGTCCCAGAGATCAGACCAGATGCAAGAACACTGGATTTCAGATTATAATGCTGATAATAATGTTTTTGGCTTGATTTAAATCCCCCAGACTCTGATAATAACTTAGACATGGTGACTTTCTGTAAATTATCTGCTTGGGGAGAGACTGGGATATTCTCTGTTTCAGATGATAACATTATTACCGGTTTGAGTAAAACTTTTAAGATGACCCTCAAAATAACATAAAATAAGTTATAAAATCAGTTTACCATTCATCATAGCTGCAGCCATAGATTTTACATCTGGATGACATCATTGGTTCAGGTCTGTTATTTCTGCCTTGGACTCGTTCCAAAAAAAGAGCTGTTCATCTCCCAAATATTGATTGGACTGTCCCGGATCATGGAAATATCACACATGAATAGTTAAACTAAATGAGGTCCTCCTCTGCATGAAAGCATTTTAGCTTCCACATCATGTAAATCATTGAGATTTTACACGAGTTGTGCATTAGAGGATGATAGGATAAAATATGAAAGCAAAAAATTCCTAACTTTGTGGCAGCAGCATAACGGAGCAGTTTGTGGTGTCACTGTTTTAAAAGTCTTTGTCTTTGCTGATGATCAAATGGGCAAAAGATGGTGAAAGAACTGTCTGTGATGTGTGACAGTACAGTAGATTAAATTGAATTCCTCTGCCACACATGCACTCCTGCAAAGTGAGTTATATTCATTGAAGTCAATAAGGTGACTGTGGCTGGATAAGAAATCTCCCAGTGGAGCATACAGCTTGTTGATCTGTGGTCATTTATATTGAATTATGTTATTTTGGATCATTATAAGTTATTTTTCATTACTTGAATGCGGTTGCCTACGGGTCCTGTATCCTCTATTGTTTAAGACAGACCACAGGAAACATGAAACACAGCTCCACCACTGTGATCTTCACTGTAGAAATACACGTAAATACTGTAATTGTTAGGATTATTTCAATATTACCAGAGGCGTGGGATTCGCTGCCTCCAGGAAAATTCAGATAATGTCAGGTGAGGCTGCCCATTATAGAGATTAGTATCTTAAAATGATGAATGTTTTCTTGTGAATGTCAAACCTTTCAGGCACCCAGTATATCAGCTGGTGTGTCAAACCCACCTGCCAGGCACTTGGGTGGAATCACAACAAGAAAAACAATTATTTTCAAACGCTATTTAATAGACATCGGAGTCATTGCAGATGCAAATTAGACAGACTGTCATGATGTTCAATTCTTCCATTACAGCTAATTGCAAAATAAATTATCGAATGTCTGTTTCGTCAGTTGCCTTCAATAGAGAAAAGAGAAATCTATGCAAAACTCACTAGACTTTAATCTGGTTTTCCAGCCTAATCAGAGATTTTTTGTTAAATCTAATGGACATTTCCTCTGAACTGTTTTTCAGGTCGTACAATGTCATTTTTACCTTGTAATGCATCTGGCCAACCCTGTGACATAAACAATAGAAGCGGGAACTTTAGAGGCAGAACACAGCCTTCCCAAAATGTCTGTCACCACTGAGGCTCCACAGAGCTCAGGGCTAACCAGTGCCATCGTTAATCTGTCTTCACGGGATTGAAACGTCCAAAATGAAAGAGGAGAATTGCGCCTGTCTGTACAGATTACAGATTTTCTAACTATTGTGTTGCTATTTCCGTTCTTCATTTAGTGGACGAGATTGAGCTGCAACACGGTTGTCATAAACTTACTGGAGCTCATTTTCCAGTTGTGTAAAGTTACACAGGTTTTAGGTGGACTGATATTCACAAGCTCGAGCTGTTTCTATCCAGGGTTTGTCTGTTTGATATACATACTGTCTGTAGGGGTTTGACACAGGTTTATCCAATCCTTGGCTTGTTTATCTTCCACACTGTGCCGTAGAGTCTTCTTTTTTTCCTCTCTTTCTGCTGAGGCATTGTCTTTATGTACTCTGCCTGTAATTCAGTTTCGTTTAGGCCGACAGCACACAGAGATTAAACTGGCATCCTGCCCACTGGACATTAGATAAAAAAAACATAAAATACAGTTTCTGAATATGCTATTATTTGATGTTGTACTTTAAAGAAGTCATTTTAATTAAAATGCTCACATCAAGGATAACTTTAACATGAAAGAATGTGGGTTTCTGAATGACGCCTGGTTTCTACAATATAAAGTTCACTGAATGTTAATTATTATCATTTCTGTGTCATTATCTGTTTTACTTAATTTGTGTGTGGGTGTGTGTGCTCTGCATCTTGATTGTCACTTGCACACACACGTGATGGCACCAACAAAAAAACACAGCCTGATGGAAACAGTCGATCTGTGTGTCGCTGTCTGGCCAAGAAATTATTTGGCACTTGATGATTTAGGACCCCACCAGGCAGCAGAAGCCTGAAATATTCACGCAGCTCCACACATCCTGACTGGCGGATGCGGTACCTGATGCAAGTATGTATTTTACCTGAACTACACAGCCCCCCTGTGTAGTCCAGGTGCCTGCGTGATGTGGCTGCACAATCTAGCGGCACAGCTTATTCAACAAGACCTTATCCATGTACTGGATGCTGCAGGGCAACTGTTAATTCAGAATATTAAATGACGATACTTGTGCAAACTAGATGCTTGGACCATGTCAGATTATTATGCTGAGCAGGAATGATCAAATCATTTTGAACATCTTTTTTTTCTTATTGCAATTTTTGGAACCAGACCTCATTACTAACAGCCTTCATGTAATGTGTTCTCTTTTGGTTGCTCCTGTCTCTACTGTATGCTATAATAATGAGAATGGTCACACCTTGAGTTGATTATTCCTCACTGCGAGTGTTAATCTTGTAGGAAGCTGCATTGAACTGCACATAACTCCAGCGCTGGGGTTTTCTCTGTGGGGTGTGCGCATAAAGCCTGATTAAAGCAAGTACAACTGTGCTGCACCATTCAACGGCCCAGTCTCACAGAGCGTCAGTCTTGTTAGCTTGCACAAATTGAGGAGCAAACAAAGGTGTAAATTGACTATACATGCAAAGCAGTTTTGGGCAATTTTGGGAATCAATGTGTCAGATTTTATTCAACTTTTTGGACAGAAGCTAGCAAGGCACCTGTCTCAGCTGGTGTTGCATTATTAAATAAAACTGCAGGTTTTTGTGTAGACAGGGTTTTGTTGGGGAGGGGGATCGAGTTGTTCTTTGAAGTGGACTTTGTATAGAAGATGCATTGTTATTGCTCTGGTTATTGAATGAGACTCATTTAACCTGCCATAGCTGTGATCCTGACGTGGCCATGCGAAAAAAGCCACAGGAGCCACTTGTGGAAAGATGTGGAACGGACACATGCAGTGTGGAGATATTTTGGATGATTTTGCCAAATTGGAGGCAGAGAGTTAGAGAATAATGAAATCCAGCAGCTACAGCATCATTGAGGGATCGAGCTGCTGAGAGTATGAGAGTAACAGGGAAAAAAAATATTAAATTGATCATTGAAATTCAAGTTTTTATGACAAAGAGGGGCAAATTCATTTGTTTAATAACAATAAACAACTATAACTGAGGTACTTGGAAGCTGTGTTTAGGTTTTCTGTTCATGTGGAAATTTACTCTGGGAAGTCAGAAATCCACAGTGCCACACACATCTGAAGAAAATGTCATCTGGGTCAAAACAGCATGTACTGAAGAGGAAATTGTGTGAGGTAGTTCACTCTGAGAAAAAAAGTACTTTTTTTAAAAATCAAACAGAACTTATGCCGTGTCTCTACCAAGAACTATTAGAATGAGGTTGCCCAGGGCAACGCCTCAATATGTGCAAACTTTTAAGCATATGTTTAAAGTTAATAGATAGTTGAATGTTAGACGATTGGTGGAAAGTGCAAAATTTAGAGCTCAGCAGAATCGACTGTGTCAATAATAGCTCACACAAGCTTTAATCAGCACTGATTAACCAGCTGTGTCCCTCCTGAGGAAACGCCGCCCTCCGTCCGCTGGTTCACAGACACAGGAAGTTTATTCCAATATTCAAATCAAAACTAGCAGTTTTCAGCAAGACGACAGAAATGGACATGTCAAAGTGAATCCGTGCAGAGATGGTGCACCGTTTTTAATCAAACTTTACTGTGACTGATTTTAGGAATGAGAGTTTTTTTCATTTTGTTTATTTTTAGGCTTTTAGGCTTGGTCTCTAATCAACTAGTTACTAATGTTTATAAAGACCTCCCTTGCATTTGCCATCTGCTCCAGTTTTAAATAAATATATATATTTTGAATGTAGTAGCTTAAATCAGAATTAAAACAACCATTTTGGCAGGAAAATCATTACTTTCACTTGAACATGCTCTATTGTTCTTCATAGCTGAAAAAGTAATTTCAGCTATGAAAATACAGTTGAATTTATTGTTTGTTAATTGTTGGCTCTATAAAATGTAAGAAAAATACTGTAATGTCAAATGTCCATCAAAACAACAAGCTGTAGACAAAGAAAAAGCAGAAAATATTCAGACTTTGACAAATCACTTCAGCTCAACTCACAGGAACAAAATATAGCTACAGATTCCAGTTCACACCATAGCGAGCCTTTAAGTGGCACATTAATGTGCATG